CGAAGCTCTAAATTTGTTAACAGTGGTCAGTGCGATAGCCATATTGTTTGCCTTCACTCGCCATATTTTTCACCCTTTACAGATATTTTCTCCGCGCTGTATCCTGCCCACCATTGAGATCCGCTCCATTTTGGAGATGGTTAATTCAAAAATTTTTTCCGGCCATTTCTATCGCAATATCTTTTATCTCAATTTTTTTATGGGTAGTTTAAAGTTGAAAGTACAGTCTGTGAAAGATTCATATGGCTATCTTCTTCCCAACATTTTCTATGAATTTTTAAAGAATGGTTATGATAGAGTTTACGTCATAGTCTGCTCTCTTAATAGCGCGTGTATATTATATCTTAATCATTATATTATCATTGTATTTTAATCAAGTGCGTGTATCACTTGACTATAACAGTTTGTATATTCTTCTAATATTTTAATCTTTCAAAATCAAACTAAAATATGGACACTGTTTCCATGAAACGTTTCAACCGTGTGTGCTATCCTTGAAGTTCTAGTTACTGACAGATGGCGTTGATTGTCAAAACATAGATGCCCTTAAAATGTCAAGAGGTATATTCTTGACCCAAATACCCTATTGCACTGCTATTCAATTACGAAAAATTATATATGGAAGTAGTATTTAATTTTAATTGCCCACTATGTATCTATATTCCATGGACGATAAGACTGGATAAAAATTTGAGAAATTCTAGAAATTCTGTGCACGTTGGAACGTATGAAATACAATTATGGTTGCATGATTAGTATAGCTTATGATCTCGAAACTTGACAGGAAGAATTCCTGACGAGTTAGACACGTCATTGTAGTGCAAAGGGTTAATCGCACTGTCGATAATAGGAAGAATTCGTGACGAGCTAAACACGTCATAGTAGTGCATAGGGTTAATCGCACTGTCGATAATTTATGATTTTTATATACTTTCTAAATGAATTATCTGACAATCTTTAGCAAAGCGAGTTATAAGTAAGCTGATAGAGGCTAGGAAGTAGCGAGGCACATCTCACCCCATGTGAGAGTAGGCATCCACCATGACAAATCTCGGCTCATGATCATTTGTCACGTACCTTTTCCTTCCTCATCCGAACCGTGTCATCTATAATCCGCAGGAAATATTGGCGTGCATCTTCAGTGAACATCCTGATACCCAACAGTTTGGACACCAGAGGAAAATTCTTGCCAATTATGAACTTCAGTGACAAGGAAGACATGAAATCCACGGTTTCCTTAGCGAACGAGTAGAACTCGTTCTCCGGGTTCCTCATCGAGTCCACGGTCAGTCCAAAGTTACAACTGGACACCACGTCGTTGGTGTACCTTCCCACTAGTTCCTTCGTGTCCAACACCTGTCCCTCCTTCGACCTATCCGCGACGAAGTCCGTGAAGTTGTCCGCGCAGTCATCGATCAGATTCAACATCATCTTCAACTTGCTGCCAGTGAACGTAGGGCTCAGTAGTTTCCTCATGTCCCTCCAATGATCACCTCGCAAGGCAAACAGGTTCTTCCCTACCAAGGGATCCTGTTCTTCGTCCACGAAGCCACGATGGTCGCAGAAATGGTCGAAATTCTTCACAGCGATGGAGGTGATCAGTTCGGGATCGCGAATCACTATTACCGGTGTCATGAAATTGTAGAAACCAAAGTACTTGGTATGGGAGAATCGATGGTAGAGCTGTTCCAAGTGTTCGTGCATGGGAATACGACGGAATAGGCTTCGAGTCATGTTGCCTAGGATCGGGATTGGTGGTTCATGGGGGATGTCTAGGTGCTTGAAATGAGTCATAGGCTTCCATAGGTAATAATATATGAGAAGGAAACTCGAAATTAGGGACAGAGCTAACGTGAAAGGATCCATGTCTGCGCAGGTCTTCACTTTAGATTTAATTTAAGGATTATTCTTCACTGAAATGAATTAGTCTGCACTAACGATTTGAAGTTTGAATATTATCGATGGATCACGTGAAATTCATAAATGAAGTAAGTTTAGGCGAGTGTACGATTGCAACTGATAAAGTAGGACTAACTGCGCGTAGAAATCATGGGAGCGAGAGATAAGAGGTTATGTTTGATTTCGGCTTTTTTGATTCACGGTGCATGAAGAAGAATTAATTTGTACGAGGAGAATTATGCAATTCGGTAATATGCATTTTAGATTAAGTTCGAGATAGTGTTTAATAGGGAATGAAGTATCATTGTGGAATGGGAAATCTCATGCTGTTTGAATAGAAAGAGTTGTATGTGATCTTCGTGTTTTGATATTAATTAATATTTATTAATTGGTAATTATTATTATATTATTATTAATATATTATTACTA